CCCTAACTAAAGACCCCTGCTCTGGGCACCTTTCCAGCACCAGGCTTCACTGGATCACACGTATCCCACACGCTGGACACCAATTTTATTGTGACATAGCTGGCCACTCTTTTGTCACTGCCAACTCAGGCCTCTCTGAATGCCCACCACACCACTACACACTCTTGCTGCCACCAACCTTTCCTCTAAATAAAAAGGACAAGAGTTTTTTTCAAAAATAAAACTGGTTTATTGATTACAAAATAAAATATGAAAATCACATGAAGATAATCAAGATGGAAATCACTTTCTTATTTTAATTAAACACATAGACTTGCCCTCACTGACACTCAGGCACGCAGGCCTCTAACTAACTCTCACACTAGATCTCTCCAGATCTCACTCACTCACTATCTGACTCTCACACTCTTCACCCCCCCTTTTTTATACCAGCTCCTCCCCTTCATTTCCACCCTCCGTCACACCATTGGCTGATGATTCACTGCCCAGCTGTGACGGACAGGTGAGGTCATGGCTGCCCGTTACAGCTACTCTTTTGTGTGTAGTGATCACTGGTCCTTGTGTCTGTGTAGAGTTCATTGACCTTTTTGCAGGCTGTATTTTTCAGTGCTGGGAGCCAGGCTTTGTCGATTTTTAGACTTTCTTCTTTTTTGTTGAAGCTGTGCTGGTGTTCATGGATTTCATGGCTTCCCTGTGTAGTCTAACATTATGATTGCTGGTGTTCTTCAGTACTTCTGTATCTTGAAATAGCATTTCATGTCCAGCTTGTTTCAGGGCATGTTCAGCTACTGAAACAAGTTTGAAAGTTTCACTCATCTCTCTATTGCGTGATGCAGTTATTTTGATATCCTCAGCTTTCTATAGTGCCTGGTAAATGAGTAAAAGGCTCAGCTGCAAAGCAGCTAAAATTCCTGCAGAGAAAATTACAGAATGAAAATTCAGTGTGAGTTTTGGTTGACGTGCTACATGGCGTGATCCCACAGCATGGTTACACTGTGGGATACAGTGGTACATCAACTTGCAAACTTAATCTGTATTGGAACGGTGTTCGCAAGTCAAAAAGTTTGTAGGTCGAGACGCCATTTCTCATAGGAATGCATCAAAAACCGATTAATGGATTTCCGGGGGAAGGAAAACAAATACCAAAAAAAGCACTGCAATCCCACACTGGGACTGCAAAAAAAAATCACAAAAAAACAAAACAATACAGAAACAGCTTCCTTCTTTATTTGCTCACAGTACCATTTAACATAGTACCACACCGTTCTCCATGTCCATGAAGTCATGTCACAAGTTTGGGTGTAGATGTTATGAACTCTTCTCACTGGTAATCAGATTCAACAGCATTGTGGGTAAATTAGACTAGTGAATGTATGAATGAAACTAAGGAAATTGGAGGTGCAAGTAGAGCCAACCTGTGTGGACTTAGGCAAGCTGCACAATCCCAGGATGCCCCCCAAAAAAGGGAATAGTAAACTACTTCTGAATATTCTGTACCTGAAAAACCCTGGAAAGTGTCACCATAACTCTGAGTTGACTTGAGAGCACATTATTATTTATTATTAATATACTTTCAAAGCAAAATGGAAAGAATACAACATAAGCAAAGCACCGGTTTTAATTACATGGACCCAGTCACAATGATACTGAGGTAGGTCCTTTCTTCTGTAAAGATGCTTTTCTAAATATAATCATAATTCAGATCAAATATTTGAATATGTATTTACTTTTAGTTAATGAACAATCAGGCACAAGTTCTTTTCCCCTCACATGATATTCCACCAAATTAGCTGTGTCAGTTCATCCATTGCCTTTGTCCCATTACTCAGGAGTGGCGTGGACAAGAGTGGAAAGCATTTCACCCCAAAATTACAGGGAGAGAGCAATGCCTGCCCTATTGTAAACCACCTATGCTTTTATTATGGAAGTTTTGCCCTCATTTTGGCTTTAATTAGCTTGTATGAAAAACAGATCAAAACCTTAATTTTAAAAGGATTTAGTTTATTTGAAGGGGTGTGAAGGAAAGCAGGAGGAAAGTGAGCCATCCTCACTGATAGAAGTGACAAAGGAGGAAAAGGGAAGCTGTAAGAATGAGGCAACAGAGGTGAAGGAAATCTTAATAGAGGAAAAAGGAAAGATAGAAGAGATGAAGGGAAAAGTAGAAGTTTGCCTGGTGGAAGAAGGAGAAAAAGGGAAAGGGGAGGAGCTAGAGATGTCAGCATAGGAGGGGAGTACAAAAGAGCAAGGAGAGAGGAGGTTCGTCAGCAGATTTGAAAATGGAGGAATGAGGGGAAAGGAGGAGAGATGAAAAGGTGCATGGACTTCTAAAGGACTTCCCTAACCTGAAGGTTGGGGGATTGTTGCCGGACCCAAAGCCAAAGAAGGAAGGAGAGATGATGTATGAGACTCAGTAGTGGACTGTAATGAAGGAGGGGCGGGGCTACAAACAGCGAGGCAGGGGAAAGGAGGAGAGATGAAAAGGTGCATGGACTTCTAAAGGACTTCCCTAACCTGAAGGTTGGGGGATTGTTGCCGGACCCAAAGCCAAAGAAGGAAGGAGAGATGATGTATGAGACTCAGTAGTGGACTGTAATGAAGGAGGGGCGGGGCTACAAACAGCGAGGCAGCGAGGGAATTTGGGCTCTCCAGATTCCTGCTGCTTGCCGTGAATCCAACACCCCCCCTCGAGAAATTGGGGGAGCCAGGGGGAGCCCGGAGAAGCTCCTCTGGGTCGTAGGAGGGCAGGGGTTTTCTGGGGGGGTGGAAGGCAACCACCTCCTTAGATTACCCTTTCTCCAGACAAAGGATTCCGTCAACGCCATGTTTTATGGCTGTCCCAGCTGTAAGCCCCGCGGCAGGAGGGGAAAGCAGGAGAATGTTATAAAGGACTGAACCAACAGAACTAATCAGTTCCAACATCTTGTGAGTATAAAATAAATAATCTCAAACGGCTGGACAGTGTAATCCTGAAGTGGCAAACAGGCTCTAGCCTGGGAAAAAAACTTTTTTTTTCACTGCATCACACCTGAAATAGAGAAGCAGATAAGGACAGAGACTTTCGTTTTCTGCTCCCTGTAAGAGGTTAATTTACAACCGAAGCTATTTATATGTTGAGGAACTGACTTTTATTGCTTAAATACCTTACAGCTGCTGGCCGTGAAAAGTAAATAAGCTAAATTGGGGAGAATCTTCATAACAAGGAATGTCTCTTTAAATGAGGTGGATACTTGGAAATTAGGAGACAGTTTTGAACACTCACCTTCCAAATATGGAAA